TTGTACATGCCCACACTTTTTATATTCAATTTCCCAGAACACCATTTTTGCACATACTCTGAAATGACTCAGCCTTAACCATGTAAAATGCATTAGTGATGATGTCCTACATCTCCCTGGAATTCACAAGCAGGAGCTCACCCAACAGACTTCAGAAAAAAAAAGCATGTTCTTCTATGCCACAACTCAGCGGTTAGAACAAATTACCAAAAAATCGACTTGTCTTCTATTGGAATTTTCCCTAGCATTCTTCCTGCTTCCCAGGAGGTTAGTAACATAGGCTGGGGATCTCCTCATTCCCTTCTGTTGAACCTGTTCTAGTTTTGTAGCGTAAGCGTTCACCACCAGAATATGTGCGTGCACAAGCCCACATGTACCATGGGACACCCAGTGCTGTGTATGGGTGCAGGAGAGGGCTGGAAGGAGGTCCTGAGTTCCAGCTGCTGCTCCAGTGAAAAGGTTACACATCTTTGGCAGTTGCTAGAAAAGTACCATGATTCCTTGCTCCCCCCTTTTTGAAAGGGAAGCCAGGGAGGCAGTGAAAAGCTGTAATGGACACCTGAAGCAGAAGGAAGCACGTCTAACACACAGTAAGGTGGTGGCAAATCCTCAGAAAGATGTAGGATTTAAACTTCTAACGCCCCTCACTAGTTTCCTGCTGGCAAAGCCTAGTCAGTTCCTTGCTCAGTGCAACAGTCACCTGAAGTCCACTTGGAGCTCTCCGTTGCACAAACACTCAAGAAATTTAATTCAGAATTTTGCATTGCAGCACTAAGGAGGGAGTCCTAAAAGTTAACAGTGGCAAACGCTCACCAGTGTGGTGTCTACATCCTTTAATGCTGCACTTTTCGTTAACAGCCTTGGGGTGACTTAGAAATATTACTTTAAGAAGCCATAAATATTTTCAATCTTAAATTCTGTTTAGATGCTTGAGTTCAAATAAGTTGGTTTAACTGTGACATTTCCCATTCTGCTGGGCATTTGGCCTTACACACTTTATTCCTTTGAACTGCAATTCCGATTTCACGTACTATTAGCGTTACATTCCACCAACAGCACATACTATGAGTATATTCTCTGAATGGTAAACAGACTCTGAAATGTTTCAGATAAAAGCCTTTCAAAAGAATCTACATAGGCCAAGCTTCTTCTGAAATTACATGAAAGGTAAGAAAGGTGCCCAAGTTTCTGATCTCTTCTGCCTTTAAAATAGCCCAGAGGTGCCCTGTATTGTGCAACACACAGCAACAGTATTAAAAACCGACTTGAAAACAAAAGTATTTCAGAGTTGGATTTGAATATCAAATTAGGACCCATGTGTCACTGTAGATGACCATACCAGTTCAATGGTCAGCTACTGAAAAAACAATATGGAAAAAACATATGAAAAAGGTAACAATTTTTCACTTTACAGCGGACCTACAGCAAAAGGTACTAACCAGTTAAACGGTAGAGAGAAAGTAGACTAAAATGCTGCTGACCTTGTTTTAACACAAGAGCTAGAAAATAAAAAAGTGAAGTTAAAAGCTGTGCAATGCTTTCTCCACACATTATGATTACACTGTGGAACACATTCTCAATAAGGGCTGTTCACATCTAAGCACTTAAGCAGTATTCTGAAAAAGCTCAAGCATTTTTTTTAATGGCTAACAGTAATAGTCAAAGTGAATTTGGATAGCTTGATTTTTTGCAAAAGACAATAAAGCCAATGACTTAAGATTTACACCAATCCCTACCCACTGGGAGTGGAGAAAGAGAGCCCTGATGGTGGGGACAAATAATTTTCCAGGTGGGCTGCAGGCATTTTATTTCTCCACTGAGAATACCAACCACTCTTCCCAACGCCAAGGACAAAACCTGTCTCTCTACGTTGCTGTCAGATATTACTTCAAGGAGCCCCACTAGAGCAGCAGAAGCACCTGCTGACCAGTATCTTTAGGCTGTCAGAATTCAGAATTGACATTGTTTACTGGTCTAAAAAAACCCACACTTGTTCCTAATCTTTCCAAATGTAATCTTTTGATGTGCATAAAGCAAAGAAAATGACCAGGGAAAGTAATTTCTCAAAAGCAACACTGTAAAGCTGCACAATTCAGTCTGGCTGCAGAGATGCTCTGAATTTACAATTTCAGATTTGATACTTAAAATCCCATCTTGTCAAAATATTTCTACCTTTATATTAATAAGTTTTCATACATGTGGAGAGAAACAGAGGTGGATCTACCTAAAAGATGGTGGAGGCCCTATGGGGAAGTCCTCTGAAACTTCCCTAGAAGTGACTGGGACACTTCTCCAGCAGCGCTATCAGCCTAACTAGTCCAAACAACTGGATAGCAGAAAATCACAATTAACATATAATAAACAACATGCACAGACTGATAGATGTAACATTACCAGTATGCAAAAAATTAAAATGAAACAAATTAAGAACTCCAAACATTAAATTCAGATTGTTTATTGTAAACAGAATAACTCTAGCACTCTGTCATACTGGCTGTGTCACATGCACCCAATTCCACATCAACTGCTTAAAATAGCACTTGCAAAAATTACAGTTATGTAATAATAATTTATGGTTTCTTACATAAACTAATTAACAAGCACTAAAATTGAATTACAGTGTATTCTAGGTAGTTTTTTATTGCTTGTAGACACTGCAGCTTTGGATCCATTAAAATGAACCCATTAGTATGCCTGAGTTTATCAAAATTTACTGCTGTATCAAACTCAGAAACTGTAAAATGCTGGAGAACACTTAAAACCAATTAAGAGTTGCTGAAAAACTACATGGGTTTCCCCATCCAGTCACAGAACTTTGAAATTCTTCACTTTTTCCTCTGCATGATTTGTGAGCTTGTGTTAAATACACTGCTATTCCAATTTATTTATATAATTTGTTAAAATTAGAGTTGATAGCACTTCCATGAATATATATATCTATTTATTTTTACACACAATAGAAGCCATTTCATTTTATTCACCATAAGAGTGGTATGTTTAAATACTAAATCCCAAAATATATATTTTTATAATATGTTGTCAAAACTTTTAATATATATAATACAAATACTTTTACTAAAGGAAAACTATAAACAAAAGTGAAATGCAAAAGAGTAAAAAAGCCTGTTTTATGTGAAGGATCCATGATAAATGTGGTGAAGAGACACCTTTACTGGTTTTGCTTATACTATGTTTAACTTTTTTTTTTCCCTCCTCAGGCTACAAAAAAATGCTAGTGGCCTTCCTTGGCAACAGGTTACATCACAAACTATCACCAAATCTAAAAAGATCTTGAAACATGTACTGTTAACCTTTAAAACAACTTTTAAATACACTGTTTTTATTCAATTAGAAGAGACTCTCAGATAAACACAACTTAACGCCCTTACCCTGCCAAGCGTAGATTTAACTTGGCTTCAGAGCCAGTGTAAGAATGAACATTGATTCAATGACAAGAACAGCTCTATTGACTATAACAGGATCCTGATAGATAACAGTGTGTCACACCCGGCCCTTAGTTTCAGGTTCTTTTAATAAGAAGCAAACTCTCAGTAACATCGCTGATGAGCAGATTTTATATCTTCAGTGCTTTGCACACTGAATAATCACTGCCTGAATACTTTCAATGTTATGCATTAAAGAGGTAGGAGAACTTAGTAATCAGCAAAATGCTCCCTTACCTTTTTCTATTTGGGGGCCATCCCAAACACAAGATCACTCGGCAGAAGTCAGTAAACTTAGTGAATATTAGACACTATATATTGGTTTACCATTTTACTAAATTATGGAATATATACACATATTTCAGCATAATTCTTGATCCTTCTGGGTTTTGCATAGCCTTCTTAAAAGAAGTAGGAAGAAACATTTTGTGATGTAACCTGAAGCACATCCTGTGCTATGGCAGTACTGCACTGTCCCAAATGCCTTCCTGAAGGACAGGAAGGACCCACGCAGATGTATGGGAACAATGACGTACCTGATCCATTACAGGGCCCATATCTACCATTCACCTGTTCTTGAGTCAAGAACTAATGTGTGCTTAAAGTTATTTGCATTAGTAAGTACTTTGCTGGACTGAGACCTAACATAACAAATGAGGCAATACAGACTGAGTTCTCCATCAGTACATGTGCAACTGAAAACAAAAAGTAATGCTGAATAAAGTATTTTATATACCAATGGAAACAATTCACAGTAACACTGAAAAACTGAACAGGATGTTGACAGTATCGAGACTGGGACAACGCTTTTGATAACAAAAATAAGATGCACTATTAGAGTGTTTCCAGCATTTTACAAGTTTTAATATAAAATGTCCCCAAATTTGTATAGAAAGATTAAAATCATGCCCGCATCTTCAATCATTCTCATTAAGACAATTCTCTCACTTACTGTGTTGTCAAATTTCCTTCCCCCCCCCACTGGTCTTCATAAAACTCAAATAGAAAATATGTTGGTTGCATTAAGGATCAATTAAAAAAGTATCATTCAACATGTCACTTCAAAAAAATGTGAAAGTCTCTATTTTTAAGAAAAATTGTTGACCCTATCCCAAAAAGGACCTACTTTTCTCCCTGCCTCCAGTCCCCAATAAGATAATTACTGGGATACTAAACGGTGTTTTTCAGGAGTAACAAGGATATTTCAAGCAATTTTGTTTGCTCTGGAGGGTTATTTTATCAAAATGAAAATTTGAAGGGATATACTGTTTTAAAAATATACTGCATCTCCAAGTTTTTTATTACTATTATTGTTTCAGTTGATTTTGGTTTTCAACAGGTTGTCTGTAATATAAATGACACAGGACCACAACTGATTTTTATATACTCTCTATCCTTAACACACAACTGATGTCAAATGAACCAAGAAAGAATTCAGGACTTTCATAATGGACAGAACCATTTCTCCTAATGATCTTTAATAATTTTGTTCATCATGAAGTCCCCCAAAATCATGTCAGTACTGATCATTTGCATTTCTTCATCCATTGGGGTTCTTCACAGTTTTGCAGCCATGAAATTGATATGTGGTTTCACCAGTGGAAA